TATTATTTTTCAGATCACTGAAAATTCACCTAAATTATATGAAAATCAGGATAGCTGCCATTCTCTAAATACAAAAGGCATGTTGAATCTATTAAAATTAATCTCAGAGTAAAACTGAGGATTTCTACTGTAAACATTAAACTCTGTGTATTCATTAGACATTTTGGCATTGGGAAAAAAGGTAATAAGATAAATACAAAAGCAAAATTATAAAACAAAATACAATATATGGTATATAGGCAATGATCCCGGTGTACTGCCATAATGCAAGTAAGTCACTAAGAGGGACAGCACAAGCCTGAAAACATACTCCCAGAATTCCATCAGCCTCCATGACTCCTCTCTCTAAATATTTTAAACACTGTGCCAAAGAAAAGCCTACTCATTATGAAACTAAATAGAAATTCTAATATGCTTATTTTAGAAGAACAACTCTCAATTACGTTTGGGGTTCCTGAGGCTAATCTAAGTCTATCTACTTATATAAGGACATTTGAAGCTATGGTTTGTTTCTTTTTTCTATTCAGAACCACCAGATGATGACTTTCTTCAAGTATTAACTTGGCCAGGCCAAAGAGTGCCTGTTAGTCAATCAAATACTAATCCAGACATTGCTGTGAAGGTATGATATTGATGTAGTTAAAGCTCCAACCAGTTTAAGTAAGGGAGATTATCCTAGATTATCTGAGTGGGCATAATTGAATTCTTCAGAAGATCTTGGGCCGGCCCGGTGGCGCACTGCTACAGCGCGCTGCTTGGGGGTGCGGTGGTGCTCCCGCCAAGGGTTCGGATCCCACATACAGACCGGTTCCTGCTCACTGGCTGAGCGAGGTGCAGGCGCAGCACCGAGGGTTGCGATCCCGTTGCCGGTCCCGGTCCGGTACGGGCGGTGCTCCCGCCAAGGGTTCGGATCCCACATACAGACCGGTTCCTGCTCACTGGCTGAGCGAGGTGCAGGCGCAGCACCGAGGGTTGCGATCCCGTTGCCGGTCCCGGTCCGGTACGGGCGCGACACTGAGGGTTGCGATCCGTTGCCAGACACGAAAAAAGACAAAAAGGAAAAAAAAAAAAAAAAAGAAGATCTTAAAAACATGGATGAGGTTTCCCCAGGAGAAAGAAGAAATTCTGCCTGTGAACCACAGCTATGACTTGTCTGTGAAAGTTCCATGCTGCTCATGATATTCCCTTCCTGACAGGCAGCCAAGGGATTTCAGACTCGCATGCAAGACAATAATCTCTTAATATATATGTGTGTGTTTCTGTATACAAGGGTACTTCAAAAAGTTCATGGAAAGATAAAATTAAAAGAGAATACAAACCTTTCCATGAACTTTTTAAAGACCACTTGTGTGCACATATAAATACGCACACACATATATTCTATATTCTACTCCTGTTATTGAATTCCAGCCAATACACACCACAGTATGGAATATGAATTTAGAAGAAGTTCTTAGATTTAACTGGGGAAAAATTTTTATATTTGCAGATGTATATGTGGATTTACCTAATACTCTTTTTAAAAGTAGGCCAATAGAGTGTTACAACAGTAAATCATCTCTAATAGAAACTGCTATTTTCTTCTGCCAACATAGGAAGAGACAATGTGTTTATTTCTCTAGACCACAAAGAATAGGTCTGGAAATTCTTTGTGACGTAATCTAAATCTTTTAATACTGGAGATGTTTACATAAGAAGTACTATGAAGTGCAAAGACTACCAAGAATTTTCTTGAGCTCAATGATTATAACCATCTGCTTTTATTTTTGCACTTAGAAGGCTGCTAAATACCCTTTTGAAATGAACTCAACATGCTGAATTACAGTGTGGCACTACACTTACATCAGTTAAGGGGCTACTTAAAGGGCATTTTAGCATAAAAACGACTATGTAAAGGATGGGCTAGAAACAAATACTAAAACAATTACAACTAGCAATATCAGAACCTTAACAGTGAGAACACAGAATGATTTTATACAAAAGCATGGTACCGAAGAGGTACAGTTCAACTTGACATATAACTGGCTGTTCTTTAATTCTGATCGAGCAAAATTCCCAGCAAGCCCCAGGAGTAGCAAGAGCAGCCGTAGCAATTCACTTTAGTACAAGACTGTGGCCTTACATAACACTCACTTTCCCAGGAAGTCCCAAACAAACCCCCCTGACAGTACAGGGACAGAAACCTGGCGCAGAGGATACAATCTGCAGGAGGCTGGCTTTCTGAGAAACAGCATGGCCAAAGGACAGAGGGGACACACACACATATACACACAGACACCCAAAACCCAATGGAAAAGGACCGTGATAAGACAAATCAAAAGAAAGATGAAGAAACTCAAATGATAAATTACAGCAAGACAGACACCCACACACAGGAAACAGTGGAATGGCAACACAAGAAGCAAATGGTTAGTAAGAACACCACTGCCACGCACATGCACCTCAGTACGAAGTCCGAGAACAAGAAGTGTAATATAACTCCAACTTTCTTTGACATACAATGCACTGATTATCTCCTAGAATAAGGAGAGCTCAGTTTATAAAAATGGCATTCAAGGGCATAAGTGAAACTAAAATCTACTTGCCATTTTCTAAGACAATACCGAATATAACTACTTTTGCTTAAGACACTGGGTCAAGATGGGGCAAAATGATAAATCCCGTAAGAAGAGGGAACCTTCAAATAACAGTTGCCAGTAAGCCAACAAGGAACATAACTAGCCACGGTGGAACAGAAAGAAAACTGAGTTGCAATGTAAAAACCACATTTTATTAGCTTCGGCTCAACTACTATATAACTTCAGGGATAATTACTCTGGTTTGTTTGTTTTCTCTTCCATAAAATGCCACGGTAGATCTCTTTCACAAATTCTGATTCTACTGTCCATACAATATCTTTAACTATGTTACTGAATAACAAATTACAAAGCTGGTAGCAAAAATTGAGTTAAGGAAGCTGTTTGGGGTTTTTTTTGGGGGGGAGTGGGGGTGGCAGGGGGCGTAGCCAAGAAACTTTGTGTCAAGTCCTAAAATAAAATTACAGTGCTTCATGACCAGAAGACAGAATTGTATAGTGCTTTTTCCAATTTATGAGTCAAATTCTGTGGAAAGAGTAGATCATTTACAACTCTTTCTCAAAATGTGAGAAACATAGTGGTCAAAATAAGCTGCTATTTGGTGTGCTTTGGATATCAAGTATAGACTTAGTCCTATTTCCTACTGTCCTTCAAATCATGTCTAACTCCCAAAATTAGTATTGGGGCCAAAAATGAATCAAAAATGTTATTCAATCAAGCTGAAATAGCAAGCAATAATTTCAAATTTAGATTTCTTTTTTTTTTTTCTTTTCCTTTTTTGTCTTTTTTCGTGTCCGGCAACGGACCGCAACCCTCAGTGTCGCGCCCGTACCGGACCGGGACCGGCAACGGGATCGCAACCCTCGGTGCTGCACCCGCCCCTCACTCAGCCAGTGAGCGGGAACCGGTCTGTATGTGGAATCCGAACCCTTGGCGGGAGCGCCGCCGCGCTCCCAAGCGGTGCACTGTAGCAGTGCGCCACCGGGCCGGCCTCAAATTTAGATTTCTAATACAAAAAAACAAACTAAAAAAAACTTTTCTCAAGTAATTTCTTTTCTGAAATATACTTAGTGGGAAGTCACTAATCAATCAAAAGTATTATATTTTACTATCTATGCAGTACTACTGCTGATTTCAGAACCATACAAAAGAGAGCTATGTATTCATGTGAGTATATAAGGGTGTGTGCATGTGTGTGTTGGGGGTAAGGGTGCAGTACAAAGATGGAGACATAAAAATGCACATAATCTAATCTTGAGGCTCTGGTAATACTTAAGGTTTGATTTAAAGAATTTTATCCATTTGCCTTATCCAGAACTAGAGAAAATAAATACAGTTAATATCAAAATAAGAGGAAGCTGAGTGAGCAGCTAATCAGCCTGTGTTATCCACACTTTCAGTACAGTTAAGGAGAACTGTGAGGGTTGGATTTTGCTGTAGTTTCTTGAAAATCAAAATTCTCTGGGTACAGAATAGGAGAAAATGGTAACTTCAGAGGAAAATATCAAGTCCACCAACAATTTGTGAAAGTAGATTAATACTTCTTAGCTTTCAAGAGCATGAAAATAAATTATTCCTAAGGCTCAGTCCCCAAGGAGCCACATAGAATAATGACTTCATTCTGTCACTGTTGGTCTTTTGGCTGTCCAGAAGAATATGGGTAACTAACGAAGTTCTACTAGAAGAGCTGTTTCTATACATTTGTGAATTTATGTTAAGTATATGGTATAAAAGAAGAGGTTCAAGAGGCATATGCTTGATTTTTAGTTTAAAATACTGCAATAAGAAAAAATAAAAATAAAAATTCTAGGAGAGCTGTCTAGCTGGATCTGCTCAAACACAGCCCATTTTGAAAAATTCAAAGTCGGAGCTCCATAAAAATCACATCTGAGTCTTCTAAACTGTCCTCAAAATGTCCCTTGTCCTTCTAATTTTGATCTATGCTCTGATGTCATACCTTAATTCTCCACAACACAAATTATGAAAAGTCTAAAAATCCATAGCCGAAAGGAGCATCAGCTCAACAAAAAAGGTCTCAACCTATAATAAAATAAACTCCTTACACTTGAGGATCATTTTGCTCATTATACAGAAAATAAATAATAAAAATCAAGTAGCTATTTGCACTCTCTTGATTAGCTAGTAGAAAATTTTAATTTCTTAATACTTTCTCTTTTGCCAATCAATGATGTTGAAGTCCATAGCTTCCCAGTTTATTCCCATTCTATGCTACCTTTAGAGACTGCAACAAAGAATTGACAATGACGTAGAATAAATAGTAGATAATAAAGTACTATCAAGCACTCCACAAGCTAATTCAGTGGCAGATATATTGAAAAAGTTATATCCTCAAAAGTACATAGTTTTAAAACCACACTTTAACTTTTCTAACCTAGTGAGTTCCATGCAGCTTCCTTTCCTTACCTTTCCAATTCAGCTATCTTCTTGTCTTTGTCATTCTTCTCATTTTCCACCTCCTTCAAGATTTCCAAGAGGCGGTCAACTTCTGCCTGGGCCTTGCTAGAGTCATCTTTGTACCTGGTAATCTCTCTCTCCAATTGCTGTATTCGGTCACTCATCTCTGGACTAGCTCTGGCTTCCAATGTTGCCTCATGTGCCTACAAAGAAAAGTATACAAATCCTATCAAATACACATACAGTAGCAGTGGGCAAACTATGTTCCAAAGAACTATTTAGATCCCAATTTAAATAGAGTATTATCAAATAACTAATAGCTAGTCTTCAATTTGTAAGGTTTTCCTCTGCTTAAGTAGTCGATAGACAATTAGTAATACATGGAGAAGTAATTATATTTGATTCCAAATTGATTAGTTTTTAAAAAATATTACATCTCTGAATATTTATTAGGCTAAAAATCATCATAAGTAAAGAGATGCTTCAGATGTACTAATAAACCATTATTTCCGCAAGATAATATCAAAAGGCACCACTAGGGATTCACTGCTGATCTTTCTACAACTAGCATCAATGTTGAGACGCAATTCCCGCTAGACTCTCACTTCCACTTCCTTCTTCTACAAGCTGCTTTATCAAACATGTGTGAATCACATGGCCCTGAGTATCGAGAATCATACAGATACTCTAAGTGTGATGCCATAAAAATGGTGGTAGGTTAAGTAAATGGCTACCAACATGCGCGTACATCCTTCCTAATATAAGGATTCGGGATTTCACATGATAACATGGGACAAACAATGAGGTCAAAAATCAAAAACTGCACTTAGAACTGAGAAAAGAATTCTTATTCAGGATTCTGATGTGAGAGGCAAATAATACTGTCAATGCATTTCGGAATATAAAACAGTTTCAATAATTAAAAACTAATGCTCAAGTCCTTAGTTTTCCTCTTGAATTTCTAAAGCCATGCATGCATAATGTATTTAATGAGAAGGCAAAGGCTAAGATGTTTTATTTTTCCTTACTGAATAGACAACAGAACATATTTTTTTTTTAAATGGTTTGAAAAAATATTAAAGGGACAAATATACAAGAGGACTTCAAAAAGTTTGTAGAAAAATAGAATTAAAAGATAACATGAATCTTTTCATGAATTTTTTGAAGTACCCTTGTATATTCGTAGGAAATATTTTGGAAAGCTCTTATGCAAAGTACCTTGAGTAAATGAGAATTGTTTGTGTAAACTGAGGTAAATGGTTTGTGGAAGTAATAGCTATACTTTTTTTTTTTTTTCTTGGCTACTGGCTGGTACAGGGATCCACACCCTTCACCTTGGTGTTATCAGCACCACACTCTACCAAGGAAGCTAACCAGCCAGCCCCCAGCTATGCTTTTAAAATTAAGTCCTTTACCAAGTCCATTTGTTTAAGACTTCATTCATGGTGAAAAATATTTTATATGTCTTAAATACTGGCTTCTCTAATCTTTAACTCTGATATGTTTGTGAAGTATATTTTAAGAAACAAAAACTATACAAGTTTGAAAGATAAAAATAGGTCACTGTTTTGCACTGACTGTTGTCCAATGTCTAAAATCAGTTGTTTCACATTGTTTTGCCACTTTTTGAGTTGTTAATGGTAGGAGAAAAAGTCCTGTAGCAGTTAATCCTTCTTGGGCAGGAGAAGGCTATAGATACTTTTTAATAAAGTATGCCTAACAGAAAAGGAGAGAGGAAGAAAGTATGAGGAATACCACGCTCAGGAGATATTTTATGGGAAGCTGACCGTGTTTATACACAAAGAAGGGGGAAAAATAATAAAAGGAAGAGACTGAAGATGCAAACAAAAGCAGGAGATATTGAGAAAATCCCCAGTATTCACAAAGAAAGGAGGTGACGAAATAAGCAACAGGAAGGGGCTTGAAATAGGGGCACAAAAGATGATTGTGCAAACAAACCTGAAGGCCAGCTGCAATTCAATGTTGTTGAGATAACTCTTGTTTTTAATAATTTATTATAAACTCCACAAATATAACTACTGTATATCAGTATCTGGGCCTTCATACCATGCTGGTGAGTCCTTACTTTGAGGTCTTGACTTACTGCATGTCACTTCTGTTAGGAGGTCCTCTGTGACCCTCGCCTAGATAAGTTCTCTTTGATATAAGTTTCCATCACACTCTGAGATTTACTATAATAACCTGCTTGTGTGTCTATTTTCCCTGACCAAGACTACAAATTCTATGAGGCCAAAGGACAGTCTGTCTTATTAACCACTATATTCTCAGTGCTCAGCAGGCAACTGCCATAAAGTAGAAACTCAATTATTTGGTGAAAAAATGAATATGCAAAAAGCAGTGAGCTAGTTTCCATTTGATTTAAAACAGCCCCTAGTCCTAAATGGTAGGAAAAGAAGAATGACTGGGAAGGAGAGAAAATAATCAGTAATTAAATGTAAGTGCAAGTTTAAATGTAGCCCACGGGATGATAAAGTTTGTCATTTGATATTCTTGAAAGATACAATAAATCAAAGATATTATGAAACTTCCCTAATTAATTATAACAACAAATTCTGTATCCAGTAGTTTACATCTAAACTCTTGCTGACTTAATTTGGGCTTTAAAATTAAATTCTAAGACTATTACGGCACTTTAAAGATCTTTGCAGCTTTACAAAAAATGATACAAACTCTAAAAAAGAGATATTTTTCAAATCAGTGTTATTCTTTTAAAACAGATTTCTAATTTGTGGAATATGGTATTTAATTCAAGATGTAAACATGTCTTATGTCCATAGAATTACTTGTCATAGCATCAGTAAGAAAGACATTTTCTGAATGAAGTGTTTAATTTTACGGCTTTGTTCTACTCTCCCCTTTCCTACCCCTTAAATTCTAATTGTCCATTAACCTATACTTGAAAACGTAGATATTCTATACACCTTGCTTTTAGAGTATGAAGAAGTTAAGACCACTCAGAAGCAAAAGTTGCAAAATAACAATCTCTGTATAAAATGTCACCTTTGGACAAGAAAAGTTGACTTAACAATGAACAATCCTCCTTAAAATACTTTAACCCAAGGTTAGGCTCTCCATTCTCAGGCACTGTTCTATTGGAAATTGCCTACTTTGTACATTATTAAAATATCAATACACATGCACTGGAGGCAAAGATTTTGTTCTTTTGCATTTCATACATGTCATACTAGAACATGTATGATTATAGAGTGATGCAAATAACCATACTCTAGTAGAAATCAACATTTTCATAGTATAATCTATTTAATGAGAAAGTAAAGGTTAAGACAGATTTTTCCCCCTGCTCAATAAACAACAAAACATATTTAATCCCTTAAAATGGTTTCAATATATATTAGAGGAGTAAATATATATTTATACTTAGGGAAGCTCTGATGCCTTGAGTAAAAGAGAGATCTTTATATAAATTAGGCTAAATACTTTTGGTAGCAACCACTGTACTTTTAAGATTAAGTTCCTTACTAATTTCTTCTGTTTCAGGTTTCACCAATTGTGAAAACCCACAGTTACTAAGCATGGCCTTTAAAGGAGATTCTTTTGGCAGACATGTATTTTAACGTGTTGGCGAAATTGTACCCTAAACTCGTGTGGTTAAAAGCTACAACATGGTAAAAGCAAAGGGAGAGAAGCAGCCCTGAATGAATTAACTCACTAAAAACAAAACAAAACAAAAGCAGAAGAAATGTAAACTTTCCCCAAAGTCTGTGGAAGAGTTCTTGTCTTACAGAAACTTTTCTACTCTGTATGTATCCCAATATACTTCAGAAAATAGTCATTCGAAAAAAAAAAAAAATTCTAGAGTAACTACTTTAAGAAGGGAAGGATGAAAAGATCTTGTGTATTCACTTTTCTATAGGACAGTAAAAAGTCACTTGTGCAAAACAGAGAAAAATATCAACCAGGATTTTATGGCACCCCTTTGTCAGGTTATTTCCTGGCTTGGATGCTAAAGGGAGTCAGAAGAGTCAGGGAGAAAAGAAGAAAAATAGAAGGAAATGGTTTAAGAATACAATAAGCAAGAGAAAAAAAAAGTAAAAGTTTAAGAAATACAGTTTTTAAAAAAAGCTTCAATTAAAAAGTCAGTCTAGGGCCGGCCCGGTGGCGCACTGCTACAGTGCGCCGCTTGAGAGCGCGGCGGCGCTCCCGCCGAGGGTTCAGATCCCACATACAGACCGGCCACTCACTGGCTGAGCGAGGTGCGGGTGCAACACTGAGGGCTGCGATCCCGTTGCCGGTCCCGGTCTGGTACGGGCGCGACACTGAGGGTTGCGATCCGTTGCCGGACACGAAAAAAGACAAAAAAGACAAAAAAAAAAAAAAAAAAGTCAGTCTAGAACTAGATATTTTATTCCAGAAATAAAGTTTTCATTTTTAGTACTTTTTAAGAATTCTGATAATTCAAAAATTGAGTTTCAACCCTTTCCTTAATAAGTCTCTTGTTAGGATCTCATGCTAAAGATACACAATACCAAAATTCAGGTACAGGATATAAATTCTTAAGCTATAAATAGGTAAAAAATGACTTCAATTCCATTACTTCAAGACCAGTCATTTACTACTCCAAACAAAAGAGAGAAGAAGTTTACTCTGAAAATTCCAATGAAAAGCACAGCCTTGTAAATAATTATAAATTAGAACACTAACCTGAAACAAGTTATGGTTTTCAGGAAAAAAGAAAATATGCAAGGTAGTATTTCATGTAAATCTACAAATAAGCTATAAAGCAAAAAAAGAATGCTAATATAGAAGACAAAGAACAAAATTCTAGGCCTAATAAGCTGCTAAAAATAATGAAAATTGTAGCAAATAAAAAAACTTTCCAACAATATTTGCCCAGCTTTTAAAGTATAAGCATGCTGGGGAATTAGAATTCCCTAGAATGAGAAAAAATCTGAAATAGGATGTATAACAACTGTTCAACGTCTCACATTTTACCTAACTTTTATCTCAATCTAAATTAGGAAATATGCTCTCATTTATTTTATGACAGACCTTTTTTAAAGCCAAAGTTGTTTTTTTTTTCTTTCCAATAGAGGAAATTTCCAATATAAATAATAATTTAGAAATGCTTTGATAATATGGTAAAATACTCAAGTTCATTTGACATATATCAGAACTAAAAGACCTGTACAAAACAGGTATATTGTTAATTCATAGACCTCTACGATCCATTCTCAAATTCCTGGGGAGGGTTCACTTATTGATTTCGTAAATATTAATGTGTTAAGTAAGAAAACCAAATCTGATTTCCAAAAAAAAGCAATAAATGGCATTTTTATTTTATTCTTTAAATTTTATTCTAAATAACAAAATTCATGTAAATATCTTCAAAAAATAAGAATAAGTAGGTCTATTCCATACGGAAAACTTCAATAACTTCAGGCTCCAACATGCAAAGAGACTGGGAATCATCACTCCCATCCTTACAAAAAGAAAAAGCTTAACAAATTGAAAATCCATGACTTTTCTTAGACCTGTTAGAAAACTGAGGTCACAAGGAAAACTGCCACCCCAAAATCTGGAGAGACAGAAGCCATGGTTTCAGTGTTTGTCCCCTCCAAAGCTCGTGTGGGGAGCTTGAATCCCAATGTGGCAGTGTTGAAAAGTGGGGCTTTAAGAGGTGACTGGATCATGAAGACTATGCTCTTGTGAATGAATTAATCCATTCATGAATTAATGGGCTTATGTTTTAATGCATCATTAGAGTAGACGGGGGTGGGGGGTTATAAGGAGAGCAAGTGATTGTCTGCATCATCACAGGACTCTGTAGAGAGTTCCCAACAAGAAAAGGCCCTCACCAGATGTGCCTTCCCTGAACCCTGGACTTCTTAGCCTCCAAAACTGAAAGAAATAAATTTCATTTCCATGTAAATTACCCAGTTTCAGGTATTCTGTTATGAGTGACAGAAAACAGAAATGATACAACAGGTAAATCCAGAGATTCAGAGATGAGATCTGTTTGCCTGGAACAGAAGTTGCTGGCAGAAGCACTTAAATTTTGGGAGTGATTATAGTATACGGATAAATGAAATAACAATGTCCTAAGGGAAGGGAAGAAGGAACTGAGAATACTCTGTGTACCTGCACTGCATGTGAAGCGGGATAATATTATCTGAAGGAGGAGTCAGATCAGCTAAAATGTTAATGTTACAAACCCTAGGGCAACAATTTAAAAAAAGTTGTAAGAAGCATAATTGATATGCTAACCCAGTAGAGAAAATGGATTCATATAAAATGCTCAATTAAAACCAGAGAAGGCAGAAAAAGAGGAAAAGATCAAAAGAAAGAACAAATGCAACAAAGAGAAAACTACAACAACCTCCTTCTTGGAGCTGGGCACTGTGAAAGCAGTATAATAAAAAAATATCAGAAATGGATTCAAGGGCCGAGCCCGTGGCGCACTCGGGAGAGTGCGGCGCTGGGAGCGCTTCCGCCGCGGATTCGGATCCTATATAGGGATGACCGGTGCGCTCACAGCGCTCACTGGCTGAGCGCGGTGCGGCTGGTCCCAAAAAGGAAAAAAAAAAAAAAAAAAAAAAAGAAATGGATTCAAATGAAAAGAAACAATTGTCCAGAAAGAAACAAAGGAAAATATGAAAAGAAAAATGGGCAAGGGAAGAAAAAAGGTAATAAATCAAAGGAGGGGAAAGTCACCTACCTCCTTGACTCAAAGATAACTTTTTCTCATAAATCTAATTATAAAGCCTAAAATATAAGAGACCACATAAATGACCAACTATAGAAGTATCAAGATATACAGAAAGATCCAAAATAAACAGAAAGAGAATGCGAGATTGTCATAAACAAGGAAGCTTAGAGTGTTAATAAATAACATTACTCTTAATAGTTACCTCTCCATTTTATAACCCTATTTACATCTTCAATGTTTAGGTATTCAATGGAAAAATTACCTCCATCTTCTTAATAAGAAAAAAAAAAGCCAACTATTGAATCTGAATTGGTTATTACTGGAATCTTTAATCTCAAAAAATGTACTTTCCAAGTTACTCAAAAGTAACCTTAAGATACTCTTCCTTTCCTTAGCTTCAGAATACGATTTTATTTTATTTATTTATTTTTTTTCCTTTTTGTCTTTTTTCGTGACCGGCAACGGATCGCAACCCTCAGTGTCGCGCCCGTACCGGACCGGGACCGGCAACGGGATCACAACCCTCGGTGTTGCGTCCGTCTGTATGTGGGATCCGAACCCTCAGCGGGAGCGCCGCACTGTAGCAGTGCGCCACCGGGCTGGCCCACGATTTTATTTTTGACATTCCCTAAATGAGAGGATCATGTTATATACACCCAATGTATGGAAAGAGAACAAAACTAGAAGTCTCAAGACTAAGTTATACCCCTTACTCATTAGTAATCATATGAACTGAAACCAGTTAAAGTAACTGGTCAAAAGTCTCTGTTCCAATTCTCCCAGACTTGACAGCTCAGAGATAATGAACATGAAAGTGCTCTGAAAACTATAAGCTGCAACATAAATATTAGAGAGGTATAAATCAACAAAACAGACAGCAAGTATCTGCAACATGTCCTAATGTTCACCAGTGTGAGTGACTATCACTGTTACATTATCTCCTTCTAGGAAGTCTGATTCTAATCAAAGAAAAATATCAGATAACTGAGAGTTTTACATTGTGGTCTCATATTTCATCCATAAGGGAGCCGCATATATTAATCTTCCTCTAAACTGTCAATTTTCTAGGTGTTTGAAGATTCCCATGAACAAAACAGAGTAAGGATGCTAAGAGAATTAATTCAGGTACAAGTGGTATTTTGAACTTTGGAACATTACTATTGCATTGGTAAATTATTCCATATAAACAGCCCAGAGTTATCTAACATGGTCTTATCTAAAGCAAAGCAAAAAAATGACAGAATTTTCCTTTAACCTTTTTCAACTGTGATTCCATTTTCAGACACTCCTCCTTCTTCTGCTCCAAAGCAATCTCTAGAGTCTTGAGCCGTGAGTCCTTTTTCAATCCTGAGGAGGCCAGGGAAGAAGCGTGCTCTTTCAGATCCAAGAGTGACGCCTAAAAGAAGCAATACACACTCAGAATAAACACTAATTATAAACTTATCATCATGGTGGCTTGCTTGAACTTTCTCTCCATTATCAAATATTGACATATTCCCATTTCAAGAACATTCATGAAATATTAAATATTATAGCTTTAAGCTTTTAAGTCCTAACTAAAATAAGATGGATTCCCAAGAAATACCAATTGAACAGTGATTTAGACTTCGACCAACATATAACCACTCACAAAATAAAAGAAAGTAGACCAAGCACTGTAAGTTTACGTAGTCAACCTCAGTAGCTACATTAACTTAAAGTATTTTTCCCTTTTAGAAGAAAAATTCTACTAGTAATATTTCCATAAATTTTCCTAAAGACATTAGAAAGAAAACCCAGAGAAAAATCCTAAAGCTCATTTGCATTAGGCATTTTTGCTATTTCGGTCACATTAACAGGATTCTCCAAAAGCAAGAGCAAAGTATATTAAGTCACCTAATTCAACAGCTGCTATGCACTTCAATAGCTATTATAAATAAATTTTTCTACTTTTGTCTGTCACCTTTCCTTAGCACAATATTCCTCCAAATGTAACTGGTCTTTAGTTATTTTAGGATCGACAAAAATGCCATTAACAAGTAAGAAGCCAACTTAAAACACAATGAAAGAGGTAAAATGTAGGAAATTAATGAACCAATCTAGGTCTCTGCAAAACTTTCTGAAATATTCCTTAAGGTATTCACGAAAAGTCTGCTCTAAGAATATTAAGAAAACCTTCCATCAAATGCTTTTTTATATACATCGTGTAAACAACAAGCACATATATACACAGTGCAATAACTAAGCAAACCAAATGATTCCATTTTGGTGATCTTAACCTCTTTCTCTGAGAGGTCGCCTTGCAATAGGCTGACTTTTTCTTTCAAGTCTTTGAGATCTTTTTTGTAGTTATCGATTTCCTCTTGCTTCTCCCGCTCATCTCTGTCCCGCTGCTCCTTTAAGCGTTCAATTGTCCGCTCCTGGTAAGAGAGCACATCAACACATGAGGAGATTCCTTTTCATACTTAGAATATATGACTGTAATTCTGCTTTTAGTCGATAATACCTCACACTTCTATCCTCTACTCAAAAGACACTGATAAGCTTTAAAGAATTCACTTTTTAAAGAATCCATCCTTCCCACCTATCTTGCCTAACAAAGATGTGGCTTTGTCCTTTTGAATCCCAAGATTTCTTTTCCTATAATTTCAGCTAATATGAGATATTACTAAAGTATTCTTTTAGGGCTGGCCCGGTGGCGCACTGCTACAGTGCACCGCTTGGGAGCGCGGCGGCGCTCCTGCCGAGGGTTCGGATCCCACATACAGACCGGCCGCTCACTGGCCGAGCGAGGTGCAGGCGCAACACGGGTTGCGATCCCGTTGCCGGTCCCGGTCCAGTACGGGCGCGACACTGAGGGTTGTGATCCGTTGCCAGTCACGAAAAAAAGACAAAAAAAAAGAAAAAAAATAAAGTATTCTTTTAGACTATTCCCATTATTCAATTCCCAAGAAACTAAAACTTTATATACACATCCTAAGGACAATAACAAATATTCCTTTTTGATACATAATTCACATTACCTACAAAGCAATAGAAACAACTCCCAATTCACACACCAAAAAGGGAGGGGGAATTATACGTTGAGCTTAAAGCATAAATCAGGGTAAAGAAAAAAGAAACCATTAAAACTTCTATCAATAGATACTCAGGACATCTGAAAGTTGATGCAATTTAAGTATATTTCCAGGTATTATTTCTAAATATATTCAGGGATCAAGCCTTGATGCTGGCAGACAGCCTGAAGCATTCTCAGTCCAGGAGACTCAAGGAACAGTGACCTTATCCTTTTTTAAAAATCTAATTAAAATGTCCCAAGGAGATTCCCTAAACCTCCTTTTAAGACATTAACACTGGTCTGGGCCATTTCTTTAGTCAACCATTCATGAAAAACTAGGTTTGCTCACAAAGGCAAAATGAAGTAGCAAGCCCAAGACTAGAAAACCAGCCAGCACGTTACATTAATAAGTAAACTCCACAAATGTGTTAGCTACCAAAATCAGATAGTAAAGGGAGACTAATTATGCGTTGTCTCCGGATAGTCGGTATCTGGTATTCCCACATCCCCAAATTCTAGTTAACCATATAAATAAAAAGAAATTTTTCTTTCTCCTTCAGAAGACAGTAAATGGGAACATATGGCTGATTCTTGAGAAGAATCAGCCACTCCCCTCTAAGTATGGAATCCACCTAGCCTAGAAGCAGATGCTTAAATTGGCAACAACTAAATGGATTTTCTTTCCCCTTTACACTATGTATGTCAGCAATAGCTCAAAAGGGCTCTTTTCCTTTTTGCCCAAAGAGATTTTTTCTGTATTCTATACCCAATTTTAGATTAATGGGAAAGCAGAAGAAATGTGTCTGTGAAGAGTCTGGGCCAGTCACTCACTTTCTCTGCAAGGGCCTCCTCCAAAGTTGTCAAGGCAGTGTCAGTGTTGCTGGTGTCAGCCTGCAAGGACTTGACTCGTTCTTTCAAGCTGCTCATCTGCTTTTCCTTATCTCTAAGCTGTTCTTGAAGATTTTCAATCTGAGTGTGCATTTAAGAGACAAAAAAAAGCACATTAATAAAAATACAAACAGGCACAATAAAAATCATTTAAAGTCAGAAACAGGTAGGTTAGGATTGTCTGTTATGTGTGTTCTATAAAAATCATTTAATCCAAAGAGTTTCACAATTACACGCAAAACCTTAAGCCCAGAATTTACAGCCAGGACAGAGATAAGGCACACAATGGGTACAGACACACGTACACACAAATCCCTAACAAAATAAGGAGAGCAGCTAGAAGAAAAAACCCTATATAGAAATGGGCGTGGAGAGAGGGACTGTGGAGAGGAAAGCCACGAGAACTAGGATTACTTCTAAAAATGACACGGTAAATGCCAAGAGGGATTCCTTCACAAAGAATCAAGAGAGGACAGAACAGAAAGGCTAGACAGTTGAGAAGGACAAATCAGCTCTATAAAGGAAAAACTGTTCTCAAATGCTCCAGTTACGTTAGATTTTTATATCATCTGTCATCTAAACAAGCATTTTCAATGAAATGTCTCACTGTAGCCATTCATTGCTTTATACTCACTTACATGCGTTCATTTACTCCAAAAACATTTACTGAATTCTCTTTTACATGCCAGGCACTACTGATATAAAGAAAACGAATAGGCTCATTTTTGTTATATCATGGGATGGTAAGAGAATTCCTCTTTATGTGGCTGAAGCCAAGCTACAGATGGGTTTGTGTGCCATCCTAAGGAAAGAGATGGGAACCATTAGAGGTATTTAAACACAGAAATGGTCTGGCCAGTTCTGTATTTCAGATAATTCTGATGGCTATGGAGGACAAACTTAAGGGGACTGCATACAGACACGGAAAGCAATTAGGAGATTTATCAGTTCAGGGAAGAGATTATGGGGACTAAAGGATGTATTTGAGCAACACTGTGGAAATAGCATGTTATCAATAGGAAGATTCAAGTACATATAATGAAAAATACTAAGAAAAAAAAAGGACAAAATTCTAGGGAGATATTCTTAATAAGCTAAAAAAAAAAATTATAAATAAGCCAAGTATTCTAAAACACACTAAGTTCATTCATTCACGCAACACAAATTTGAGTCTGAGTTCCTGCTATGTATCAGGTACTTTTCCAGGTGTTGAGGATACAAGAAGTAATCAAAACAGACCAAAACCACTGCCTTCATGGAGCTTACGTTCTAGTATGGTAGATGAATGAAGGAGGGAGTAAATGAGTGAGTGAATGAATAAATGAATGAATATGTAGGATGGTGATAACTTCTAGGGAAAAAAACGAAGCTGGACTACATACTCATAGTCTCCTCTTGAGCTAATACTAGAACTAGATGGTTTATTAATGGTTTATTTAATACTAGAACCACATGGCTTTCAAAATGCAACATAAATACTATCTCCTTTAAGAAGACTTGCTTGGTCTTACACCCATGAGAATAACATGATCACTGTTTGTACTCCATTAATTCACACACATGTATATACGACATACAAACATACACACACCATATCCACTCCTCCATGTATCAATACATTATAGCACTAATCCCCAGCCATATGTAATTATTTGTTTTATACATGTCTCCACCACAGTTTTGTATCTTCATATCTGACACATATAAAGATTGGTTCATCAATAAAATATGTTTGTATTTAGGCATACACATATACTCCTGTAGAAAGGAATCCTACAGAAGAACCGTGAACCAACCTTCAGACAGTTTCTTACACTAATCAATTTAGCACAAGCTCTTTAAGGACCTTCTTCATTCCATGGGGGTAGGGGTAGGGGTAGGGTTGGGAAGTCCCTTTCTAGAGTCATTAAAAACTCCACAAGCTAAGCAAAGAGAGTTGGTAAATTTAGAAAAAGGTACTATAATCATAAATACTTTAAGGCTTGAATTTTCATTCTTCAACAAAGAAATAAGCATACATGTGAATCACTGAAATGCCTGAAATGGACTCCAGTCTTTTCAGTGTCAATAGGAGTCTAAAGCCTATTGTGAGAGAAGAGTTCATCACAGATTAAAAGTCTTCCTTTGATTTAATCAGACATTACTATTGGAATCTCATATGGATCAACTCACAACCACTAAAGAGAATTTTGCCACTCAAAAATCTGGTACTCCATATATATACAGAACACAGTGCCCATGTTTAATCAGCTGTGCAGGGCATTCTAGTTGCTAACATACAGACCTTATACAAAGAAAAAATATGGTCATGCTGCTGATTAGACTTTCTTGTCAAGAAAGGGTAGTAAGGGTAGTACGAGAGCCATTATTTAAAATGAAATTTCACAGAACCAAGTTTTACATACAATAAAACAGATTTGTCTTATGAGTCCACCTAATACACAATCAGCCCTTATATGCATAATAAGGATAACACCCTTCCTTATCCTCCATCATCAGCATTTAGGGAGAAATTAAGGAATTAAAATGTTAATGATTCCACTTTTATAATTTATATGTAGTTAAACTTAATAGGAATTTATTATTCTTTGCTGGTAAAAACTTCTGATATATGTACCGAGGTTCAGAAGCTGCTAAAACCAGGTTAAAAAAACCCATTAGCAACTTCTCCCTAAGGCACTTTCTTTTTCAATTACCCAGCTGTCTAGACAGATTGACTGTTGAGTTGAAGGAGAGGAAAAGGATGCCTATTTTTGGACTCCTATTTACTTCTAGGAAAAAAAAAAAAAAAACAACTTGGGGGCAGAGGGTGGCTGGCCAGTACAGGGATCAAACCCTGAATGGACCCTGGTGTTATCAGCACCACGCTCTAACCAACTGAGGTAATCAACCAGCCCAGGACTCCTATGTACTCTAAAGTACATTCCATAGTGAAAGGACATCACAAAAAAAGAACAGTAGACACTAAGATTGCCTCCTTTGGGCATGTTGCCATCAGCGATGACAACCTGAAATAGACACAGATATGTGCCAAGGAGCTATGTAAGCACTGAACAAACCCAAAAGATGCTGTGTGGGGGGTGTGTATGGGTGGGCCCTACAGACGGTTCCTGTTACATACCCTCACTTTGGCTTGTGATTCAAATTGTGCTCTTTTGATCAAGGACCTCTAGGTTTATATGTGTCACTAAACAGCTAGTATACGGATGCTACCGCACTATTTTTGTCATTATTCTCTTCTTTTTTACTATCTAATGTTGCAATTGTAAAAGCTGCTGTACATATGATAATTCCATATCGTATCATTTCAGTATTTATTATGCCATTCCTGTAAAATATATACCAGAGATCCTATTCTATACTAAGTTTGATCATCCACAGGATCTGAAATATATGATGTACAAAAAGCTTTGAATACAAGAGCCAAGAGAAAAACTGGATCCATTATGTATACATTTCAATATAACAATAAAAATGATTGTCTGGAATCATGCTTAGTGGAAAAGTACTCCTTTAAATACGCTCAGAATATCTACTTTAAAAAACACATCCATTGTGTAGGAGCAGAAACCACAGAATACCTAAAATAATAACACAACAACAACAATAACAGTGCTGGTGGGGAGGAGGAGGAAGTGACGATGGAGTACCCAACACCTACAGAGAGCGTACTGTGTACAAGCCAGACACTGCTTTTAGAACTTTATGTAGAGCCACTATTTAAGCATCGCCACAGGACTATGAGACAACTACCAGGCAATCTAGTCTAGCATCCTACTCTTAATCACTAAGCTATAAATAGTATGTTCTATGATGGGGAAAAAAAAAGAAAAGAAAAAAGAATCACACAAAGCATCTTTCCATAAACTACGCCTTATTATTATAGTTTTTATTAAATAAATATAGATTATTATTACTATAATCATTTATATTGAAAATTTATCCCCTACTGAAGCAAAGAATGAAGGGTGGGGGTAACAAACCATTGCAAATGCAAAAGTACATCTTTGGAGGAACATATACCTATCAAAATATATGAAGCTGGTAGGCAGAGCCAAAGATACTTGATATAAGGAATTCAGTAGTATGATGTTATTAAAATAATCTGTTTAGCCTGACTTTCAAGGCTAAAGGAAGCTAGGGACATAAAGAAGCTAGTTTATTTACAGACATGTGGACTAAGGAGCACCTACCAATGAAATACCTAAAGGGCTTTGCTTTTGTTAAATAACTTAATAAAATATTGCTGCCAAAAGTGACACATTTTATAATACCATAGGCTTTTTTCCTACATTATGCATATTTTACCTGACATAGAAAGAAATCATTAAATACCTATTAGCATGTACGCAATTTTGCATGAGGAAAATTTTGTAGAGATCAAGTGAATTCGCGCTTATTCTATATATCTTGACCTCAATGGTAAATAGGAAGAAGGGGTAATACCAATTAGGTTTATACATACAATTTATTATCATAGAGAAGATCTAACAGTGGTAAACTCAAAGAAGAAATAGTTTAAAATTAATTAGAAGATAGTTCCTTAAAATGACCTCTCTAATCATGGTAAAGTTTTGTTTACTGTGTTGGAAAGAAAACAGAAATGAAATAGTTACTTTATTATATAGAGGCTCTCTTCTCCTCATTCAATTTTTACTTAAGAGAGAAAAACTGATGACACCAGAGGAAGACTAATGCTGAAAGCAACACTACATGCTGAATTCATCAAATCTGCACACCAGTTCCACGCTGGCACAGATTTATTGACATCTTTTGTTTTGGTTTTTATCAGCATTGCCCAGTTGTCAGGAGCTATCATGTTCAATGTGGGTGATTTATTTCTAGTCAAGTGGAACTGATTACTCTGCCTTTGAGACCCTAATCACTGAGCGAAGAGAAGAGACTTCCTCTAGGATACAGTTCTAAAAACAAGGAATCCCAAAACACTTCTTGTAATCACCTGGCTCAATTTAAACATCTTTTAAAGAAAAGGAACTTTTCTGCAGATACCTCTACAGTTGTTCTGAGCAGCCATCAGTATGTAATTTATTGCATGCAGCCAGTTATTCAGAAAGGTTCTG